CTCTGCACTTGGGTGCCACCCATAATTACTTTGCCTGTTGTCTCTGACAGAGCTTTTCATAAATAAATACATTCCTTAACCCCAGTCCAGCCCAAGGTGTCTGACATCAGGCTCTCTCTGAGTCTGAACAGATGAATACAGACACTCAGCATATGGACACAGTTTAAGCACGAAGTAAATTCCATGCATGAGAATCTGGAAATACCTGCATAACACCCACATGCCTAGGAATCATAGTTTATTAAATTATAAGGAATTAAGTGAAACTTAATTTTGTCATTACGTGGTTCATTACTGTGACTTCCAGTAAAAATTTAATGAGTCATCAAGCAATTGGAGTGTTGCAGAAAGGACTGTCCTTCCAGGAGTCACTGGGCCACTCTTCCCTCCAGACAGCATTCTGGAGAGGGTGCCTTATCTCTTTAGGGTCCATGTGACCCCTAACCAGATGGTCAGTTGTCCGTGCAATAGGGCTTGAGATGTGTAATGTAAAAGACCACCCCGCCTCATCACCTGACCCAACCACAGTCATATGGAGGTGCCCTTCCAGCCAGAAAGCAACATCCATGAAAAGCTCAATGTGGCGGAAATGGTGTTCATCAGAATGCTACACAAGTGAGCTCTTGGGGTTAGAGGTTAGGACAAATCTACGAAGACCTTCACTGAGTTACAAGAGCTGTTTGCTAAACCAAATGGACACCTAGGTTTTTGCTTTCCCCAGTGGCCCAGGCAAGTGTGGAGCACATGCTGAGCTGTGAGATCCAACGGGAGCAGAGGAGTCTCAACCCCGGCCTCCTTACAGCCCTCAAAACTTCCTCCCAATAAACATGGAACCGGAAGCAGTACCTCAGGGCTTCCCCTCTCCATTGAGCGCTCTTCTTCCATAACAGAAATCGCAGGGATGTCTGGCCAGCTCGTGAGCCAACAGCCCCCTCTTTCTCTGGAAACTGTCCTCTTCCCATGCATAAAGTGGGCCCCAGGATGTCACACGCCATGTGACCCAGACCCCTGGGCAGGGATGAAGTGGAATTCAAACAGGCCAGGCTTTCTCCAAAGATTGAAAAATTGGGAGCCCAGAGTCAACAGTCCCTAGAGAGATGTTACAGGATGACCACCTTCCACCACCAGGTGGGCCGCAGAGCAGAGGAGGGAGTTGTCCTGCAGAAAGGGAGGGAAAGAGAAGAAAGCAGCTGTAGAGGGGAACAGGTAAGAAAAGGAACAACATCTTAGAGGGAGAATGCTGGTCCCAGGCCTCTTGGGGCTTGGCCACTTCTTGGTTGAGACCTTCTTTATTCTTATGATAAATTTCCTTCTCTTTTCTTTTTTTTTTTTTTTTTTGGTATCGGGGATTGAACTCTGGTCCTTGCACTTGCGCAGCAGGCAGCAAAACCGCTGAGCTAAATCCCCAGCCCTCCTTCTCTTTTCTTAATTGAAGTGAAAAAAGAAATTAGGGCTTGAATGCTATTAGCCTTTTCAAGATACCCTGGATCTCATTCCAGCCTGCCACACAGCCTTCCTCTCCTTTCTGGTCTGAAATACTCTCATCGGCGTTACTTCATTAAGCCATTTAATAAAGGCAGAGGCATTTTTCTACATGAAGCCAATTAAATGTGTGTGTGTGTGTGTGTGTGTGTGTGTGTGTGTGTGTTAGGACCCCTGAAAGGTAAGAAGTAAGAACATCACTGCTAGCACTTTGCTCACGGCCATTAGGGAATTTAGGCCTTGGTCCAGTTTCAAGTTCACAAAAGAGAATGCCCTCGTGGAAGATCAGAACAATACGTTCCTTCAAGGCTGAGCCAGGCAGAAAATGTGGCACCAGCCAGGAAGGCCGGCCACAACTCAGGAGGGAAGCCCTAGAGGAGGAAAGGTTACATAGTTACCTGCCTACTTCACATACTGTCGAGGAGCGGTCCTGTATTTCTCCAGTAATGAAAGATTTCCTTTGTCTTCTGCCTCTAATAACAATTGCTGTGCATTTCACAGGTCCAAGGTAAAAATTTGTATTCCAGGTATCTCCACAGCACATTGCCCAGAATAGATATTCAGCAAACATTTGTTGAATGAGATGTTCATTTGTCCGTCCTATGTAAATATTTCCACTTCTATTTGCTTTTGTTTAAACCCGTTTCCTTTTGGGCTCCGAAGACCTTACAAAAGCTCTGACATAGTGTGAACTGACAATGTGATAGGATGGTAGTAGGGGATTTACAGGATGATTTTTACCTCTTTGGACTTTGGATTTTATTAAAGAGATGACATTTCCCTGAACAAACACAAACATGAATTGTTACAAACCTGATGTCTATGTGGTTTTAGCATTGACATGATTGCCAGAAATAAAGCCTGGGTCAGGCTACCTTCCAAGGCATCTCTTTCTGTTCCACCTTTCCCAGCACCTCTCCAAATGACAGCTGACATTTACTTGTGTGATTACTGTCATCCCCTTGGGCTCTTAGGCTCCACAGGGAAGGGTGTCATTGGCTTGAGCTCATCCCGGAGCCCCAAACACAGTAGTACCTCCGTTCACGAACACTTTTATTGGTGAACAATTTGGTTCACAAACAGACGCGTTTGGCAAAATTTTGTTTTTGTCTGCGAACTCTGCATTGGGTGATGAACAGCAATGTGGCCATCTTTTCCAGAATCGTCGAACGAAGTAAGTTCATGAACCAAGCCACCACTGTACTCTGGTCTCACACAAGGTTCTCAATACGTATTCACTGAATCTGAGAATGAATGGTAACTGCTGAGTTGGGTGGTGGGTGAAAGTCAAAGTAGCAAGAGGAGATGGAGAGCAGGTGAGCAGACCCCCGCTGTGCATGATCCACTGGGATGACTATGAGCCTGAGGCTCAGAGACTTCACTCAGAATCAAGAGGCAGCAGCCCATTTTACAGCTAGAAAAACCAAGTCAGGGAGGTTGAATTCTCCCTGTCTCACGAGCTAGTAAATGGAAGTGCTGAAAGTCTCACTCAGGTCTGCCTGGCTGCTGGGGTTTATGCTCTTTCTTTTTCCTTAAAAAAGTCAGTTTCACATGGCTTAGACGGAGAAAGGGCCAGGCATGGTGGTGCACACCTGTAATCCCAGCACTCTGGGAGGCTGAGGCAGGAGGATCAAAATTCAAACCCAGCCTGGACAGTGTAGCAATTTAGTGAGACTGTCTCAAAACAAAAAAAATTAAAAGGGCTGATATTGATGGAGATAAATGTGTGATCCTCTGTACCACAAAAAAATAAAAAGAAAAATGGTACAAGTGGACAGAGGGAACTCAGGACACGTGTAACAAGAAGAACAGGAAGCCCAGGACACCAGGGCCAGAGCAGGAGAGTAGGAGATGAGGACACGGAAATCACCTGGGTAACTGCCAGGATCACAGAGAGAAACGTTCTTTTTCCCAGGGCTCTCGGGAATCCTTGCAAAAACCCATGTAGCACGGGGCCCCTGCCCGGAAGCGCAGTCGAGAGGCATGCACACCTCCCACTGAACTGTCTAAAGAAGCCGTGCCTGACAGCCTCACATAAAAGTCAGAAAGAGAAAACAATCCCTGGAGCCAGAAACCTTGCCTACCAGGACCCAGACCAGGGCCCCCAAGTCTACTTTCTTCCACTACTGCTGCTAGACGAAGCCTTCTAGAATGGAAATGAGATCGCGCCCCACCCACTGCCTTCCTTCAACACCCTCCCCCACCCCCGTTTGAAATTCTTCACCACTCCTCCTAAACTAAAAGGTAAACTCCCAAGCAGACACAGTGCAGTCACTGTACCTGTACCTGCACCACACTTGGTCTCCAGCATACCTCCCACTCCGTTCCTCCAGCTGTGTGGGTGTTGGCTCCCACTAGGGTTTCTCTTGTGACCTCCAGCATCTCCATGAGATGTCCCGTGTATTTTGACAAATATGCTTTAATGGGGGGACATTTCAGCTTTGCTCTTGGCATCCAGGTCCAGTGCCCCAAACTCCTGCTATTGGCCGGGTCTCTGCACCAGATGGAGGTGACTATCCAGATGTAGTGCCAAAGGGCACAGGGTAATTTCCTTGGAAACTACTTTGAGGTCTGCCTGAGGCACAAGAATGAATACTAGTTATTCTGTTTCTACAATCTCCAGCCTTCATCAAAAATTATCTCTGTCCCTAGGCATCAATATACACAGAACAATATAAAGCGGGCTGAGGAGTCGCAGCAAAACTCTATGTCCCCAGCTCCCACCATGCAACAGAGGAGAAGCGTCCATGATGAGCCAGGGCAAGAGGAGGGTACCCTGGACACAGACCCTGGGCCCACAGCCCCCTTGGCTAGAGGGAACAGGACAGAGGCTGCCCGGACACCACAGCGGGAACAGGGTGCTGTGCCCAGCGCCACACTGGCAGCAGCACTGAAGGGACAGGGAGAAGAGAAAACCCAGGTGGACGTGCTGCCACCAAGAGGTCAGCACAAGGAGATGGCCTCCGTCAGGACAAAGGCAACAGCAGTGCAGAGTCAGGACACGGTGACAAGAGGCAGGGGGGACCAGAAGGGGAAGCTGACAACTGCAAGGGCAGTGTTAAAAAAAACCCAGGGCAAAGCGTTGGCCACCACAGTAGTGACAACAAGGACAAGAAAGAAAGCCATGACCACAGCCGCTGTCCCAGGCAAGGAGAAGGCAGCGCGGGCCAACCCTGCACCTTCCCCAAGGCCCACCACAGGGAGAAGCCAGAGACTGAAGGCCGCCAACTTCAAGTCTGAGCCCCGCTGGGATTTTGAGGAAAAGTATAGCTTTGATGTGGGGGGTCTGCAGACGGTGAGTTTGTGCCGCCCTCTCTTCCCTACTTTCCTGCCCCAACAGAGAGGTGGTCACCCCCCGCCCCAGGCAGGGCCCAGCCCCACACTGCTCTCACCCTGTCCTTCCTTCCTGTGAGGCCTATGGGCAGCATGGGGAGGCGTGAGTGACAAGGGCCTCCCTGGAGCAGGGGAAGGAGCTCATCAAATCAGGGGAGGAAGGTGTGCCCAGCTCTGGGGCTTGACACACAGATCCTTGTCCTCTGGCCGGGGAGGTGACCGGGACTAACCGATGTGAAGGCCCCAACCTCAGGCCCAGCCCCAACCTCCAGAAAGGGCTTGTTTTCCCTGCAAAGCCAACCCTAAAACCCTCACTCTCTTCCAGCCCCGAGCTAGACCTTGCCACCCCCACCCAAAGTCTTCCTCACACACCCCTGCATTCAAACCAGGCACAGAACCATGGCGCCAGCAGCCCACTGGGCACCTGCCCCAGGTGGCGCCTCTCACATAAGGCTGCATCTATCTGCCCGGGGCTGAGACAGCCATTCCTTGGGACCCTGGGGGCCACAGTGGGCCCAGGCAGTGGACAGGGGAGGGTCCAGGTCTCTCCCGGCCTGAATCGGTGCCCTCCTGCATGTAGAGATGCCCTGACTCAGTGAAGGTCAGAGCCTCCAAGTCACCATGGCTCCAGAATCTCTTTCTGCCCAACCTCACTCTCTTCCTGGACTCTGGACGCTTCAACCAGAGCGAGTGGGAGCGCCTGGAACACTTCGCCCCTCCCTTCGGCTTCATGGAGCTCAATCACTCCTGTGAGTCCTCACCCCGGGAGGCTGCAGCGCGCACCAGGCCGGGGCAGGGGGCGGCTGGCTTCCTCTCTCTGGTCCGCTCTTTCCTGGGGGCCGCCTGGCCTAGGAGAAATGATGGGTGGACGGACGCCTGTCCCTTGCAGGGCTCTGAAGGGAGCCCTGCACCACTCCTGTTCCAGTGGTGCAGAAGGTCGTGGCCCACTTCCCGCCGGTGCCCCAGCAGCAGCTGCTCCTGGCCGGCCTGCCCTGGGAGAGCTCGCAGTGCGTCACTTGTGCTGTGGTGGGCAACGGCGGCATCCTGAACGACTCCCACGTGGGCCGAGACATCGACAGCCACGACTATGTGTTCCGGTAAGCGGGAGCCCTCTGCGGCAGGTATGGATCTCCAGGGAGACCCGATTTATCTGGAAGGCGGCATTCCTAGGCTCTCCAGAGAATTTCAGTATGCAACTTCTGCTTCCCCCTTCTCCCTCTCTCCACCCACGTGTTCGGATGTGTATCTTTTTGGGCAGATTGAGCGGAGCTCTTATTAAAGGCTACGAACAGGATGTGGGTACGCGGACATCGTTCTACGGCTTCACGGCCTTCTCCCTGACCCAGTCCCTTCTCGGGTTGGGCAGTCGGGGTTTCCGGAACGCGCCCACCGGGAAGGTGAGCCCAGGCACGGGCCTGACTGCGCAGACTCCAAGCGAGAGCCTGCGGGCCAGACAGGGGGCTGGGCATCTGGGCCTGGGTGGAGCGCGCAGTTGGTACCGGTTCAGTTCGTGTGAGGGGCAAGAGCAGGGAGTGCAGCCAGACGAGGCCAGAGGCAGCAAGAGGGCCGCCCAGCCCGCGGTCCTGGCCCCACTGCTCCCCAGCCCTGCTGTCCTTGGTCTTCAGGACGTTCGCTACCTACACTTCCTGGAGGGAACCCGGGACTATGAGTGGCTGGAAGCATTGCTTCTGAATCAGACCCTGGCGAAAAAGAGCCTTTTCTGGTTCAGGTACCCACTTCCATCCTTCCATGCCCTCGCCCCGGGCTGCACTGTGGATTGAGTGGCTACAGAGGGTTGGACAGATGGGGACAGTCTTGGCTGTCACCTGGCGATGGAGGACCTGTCATGCCCGGGACCTTGACTTGGCCCTCTCAGGCCAGCTAAGAGAACTGAGCCTGAGTGACCCGTCCCTGACCGCAGGCACAGGCCCCAGGAAGCTTTTTGGGAAGCCTTGCAATTGGACAGATACCTGTTGCTACACCCAGACCTTCTCCGCTACATGAAGAACAGGTGAGAGCAGAAAGCCCAGGGAATTGCCTGGTCCTGCTCATCCTGGCAGATTCCCAACAGCTGGGCTCTGGGGCATTTTATAGGTTTCTGAGGTCAAAGACCCTGAACACGGCCCACTGGAGGATATACCGGCCCACCACGGGTGCCCTCCTACTGCTCACTGCCCTTCAGCTCTGTGACAAGGTAAGGCTGTGCTTCAGGAGCGGGACGGGCTGGAGAGCAGCTGGGGGCTACTCCTAGGCCAGGTGGCTGGGCTGGTGCACTCCTGGGGGGGGCAGAGTGCGCATATGCACCCCAGGACCTGCACCTGGACCCGCACACGAGTTAGCCCATGAGAAGACACCTGGGAGGTGACTCTGCAGCCCGTTTCTCCTCCACCCTTCACCTAGGTGAGTGCCTATGGCTTCATCACTGAGGGCCACGAGCGCTTTTCTGATCATTATTATGATAAAACATGGAAACGACTCATCTTTTACATAAACCATGACTTCAAGTTAGAGAGAGAGGTCTGGAAGCGGCTCCACGAGGAAGGCATCATCTGGCTGTACCAGCGTCCCCAGACTGCCAAAGCAAAGAACTGACTGGTGCCTGGGCCACAGCAGTCTCTTCCTTCGGTTCCTCCAAAACACAGGGTGCCGTGAGAGTCCCACGGCCATCTGAGAGCCTTTGCCATCTGCCCAGGGCTTGGACCAGCCTCCAGACCCCCAGGGTCACCTGAGAAGAAGAGAAAACTCCCTCAAGGTGGCAAGGGGTTGGAGTCCTTCGGGAAGTTGCTGCAGGTTCAGATGGAGATTCCTAAGACCAGGGGGTTTTAATTAACTGGGTGGTAAGTGGCCAATGCCCCACATGATTAAAAAAAGCACTCTGTGCTGTTCCAAAGCCACGTGGTACAAAGGAAAGCGCCTGAACACACAGAGATTTCTAGATCGAGTGTGAATTCCAGATCTTCTCCTTCGACATCGTAAAATCTTGGCGTTATCTGAAGATCCTTCCAGCGATCATCTGATTCTAAAAGGGCTGCACTTTTCCTTGTTCTCTGAGTTATTTGACAGCTCTATGTATTGTAGAAAACAGAGTAAAGCAAATGATTCTTGCCTATGAAAATGCAAATAAATTTTGTACAATGAAGATCTAATAACTCCAGGGATGGTCACCAGTCAGTCACCACCTCGAGAATTTATTCTCGAGATCCTTAATGCCTAAATGTGTGTCTGTGGCTAGGGTTCTCCTTTGAACCACTTTTAACTTTTTTTTTTTTGGTACCGGGGATCGAACTCAGAACCTTGTGCTTGTGAGGCAGCCTCGGTGCCACTGAGCTAAATCCCCAGCCCAACCACTTTTTACTTCTTACTGGTTCTTTCATTAATGAATAAATAAAATATTTGACATGTGTCCATTTTATATTTGTGTAACAGTTATAATCTTATCCTTTACACATTTCCTTAGACCAATTTTCTGGCCTTAAGTGGCTTTTAAGGTATCCATTTCACAAGGATTTTTTTTGTGTGTAATTTATTTTTTTGTACTGGGGATCGAACTCGGGTCCTTGTGCGGCAGGCAGCGGAACCACTGAGCTAAAGCCCCAGCCCTCACAAGGATTTTTTAAATGACTCTAAATAGCCCAACACAACAAATTTTTCTTTCCCTTTCATTCTTCCATCTTCCCGTCCATGTGTTTTCTTGCTCAAACCCCACGATGAAGTTTTTTTGGTTTTGTTTTTAGGTTTTTGGGTTTGTTTGCTTGGTTTTTTTTGGAGACAGGGTCTCATTATGCAGACCAGTCTGACCTCGAATTCATGATCCTCCCGCCTCAGCCACCCAAGTGCTAAGATTACAGCTGCGCAGCATCACACACTACTCCCCACAGTGAGAATTTGAGCTATGCCAAAGCCAGTTCAGTTCATCTTATCCTTTGAATTCTGTCTCCAGGATTTGGACGCTGGAACCCAAAAGAACTCAAGATCCTAAACAGAAGGGCTCTCAGTAAGGGCTGGAAGGCAAAAACAGAACAAAACAACAAAACACAATGGATTTAGGCTCAGGGTACAAATGGGCCCGGGCTTTGCTTTGCTCCGACAGAGTGCAGCGGCAGCTCCGCCAGGCAGGCGGCGGCAGCGGGCGCCAGATGCTCGCGGTTCCCTGCTGCCCAGCTCCCGATGGGTGGCAGGAGCTTTCACACCGCCGCTGCAGCTTCTGCTGTCCACGAAGCTTGGGGTGGACAGAGCCGATGTGGGAAGGCCCTGCTTGGGGTTGCGTTTGGGGGAAGGCGACCCATCGCGCTGCTGCAGGTGATTTCCCCAGAGGAGGAAGTGCTAGCGCAGAGGGGCCTGGCTGCAGCGCAGGCAAGGAGGACAGCAAGAACTGAGCCCCTGCCCAGCAGGTGCAGCCTGGGCGAGACTGGGGGAGCGGAACCGGGGGCCACAGATTCGGAGCTGGCCTAGGGGAGGCTCTGTGCAGGGGGAGGGGGCTGAAGCTAGGATCCGCCCCCCCCCGGGGGGGGGGATCCAGCAGGGGGCGCCAGCACCCGACCCCCAGATTCAGTGGTGCTTCCCCCTGCTCCGTTAAACACTAAGGGTAACCTTTACTCCCCACAGCATTGTAAGAAGGGAAGAGAGCCAAGGTGATCGGACCTGGCAAAGTCCTCCAGTCTCCAGCCTCTGAGCGGGTTATTCCTGCCCGCTTCTCCCAGGGCAGAGCCGCGCATCTGCGCACACAGTGGGGGCTGTCCACGTGAAGCCACTCAAGCCGGCCTGGGAATCATAAGACGAGCAGAGAGGGGCCCTGGCCATTCCATAGCTCCCACGATGGACAAGGAGGTGGCTGTGTCTCCCCTGCAGAAGAGTGTAAGGGAGCGCGTGTCCCTGGGGCTTCTTCAGGCTGTGCCGCTTCTTAGCTGTGTGACCTCACCCCACTTACACCACCAGTCACCACAGCGCCGGGTGTGGGCACCACAGCTAGTCAGGGCGGAAGAGGAAAGGAGCAGCCGCAGGCAGGGGTCTTACCCACAACAACCTCTTCAATAAACTCAGCCTCCGGTTTAAATGCTGAGCCCCACTGGGCCATGTTACCCTGTGGAATATTCTGGCAGGAAACGTTCACCAAGACAGATTTGAACAGAGTCTTTTGTTCTTGGAAAAGATGACTCAATATAATAAATTTGTCATTTTCTCCAAGTTAATTTATAGATTGAATGTAATTCCAATACAAATGTCAAAACATTATTTTCTAGACCATAAATTAACACTAAAATACATATGGAAGAATAAACATGTAAGAATATCTAGGAATACCTGAAAAACAAAAGTTACCAGAGGGGTCTACCTTTAGCAATGTTAACATACACTATAAAGTCTTTCTAATTAAAACAATGTGGTAGAGGTATGAATAGACAGACCAGTGGAATAGAATAGTCCAGAAATGTGGTGGCACATGCCTGTAATTCTAGCCACTTGGGAGGCTGAGGCAGGAGGATTACAAGGCCCAGGCTAGCCTGGCCAACTTAGTGACACCTTGTCTCAAAACTTAAAAGGGAGTTAGAGCTGGGGATGTAGCTCAGTAGTAGAGGACTTGCTTAGCATGGGTTCAATTCCAAGCACAAAAAAGAAAAGTCTGTGTATAGACAAAGTACATGTAGAAATCATGGGTAAGGGCCGGGGATTTAGCTCAGTGGTTCTGCTGCCTACCTCACAAGCGCAAGGTCCCAAGTTTGATCTCCTGTACCAAAAAAAAAAAAAATCATGGATCAAAACCGACTTTGTGAATAATAGCTGCTCAGACAATTAGATAGCCAAGGGATCCAACTAGATCTATAACTCCATCCAAAAGAATAAGCTTTAGATGTTTCAGAGATCCAAATGCAAAAAAACAAAATAAAGAGAGAACTAAGAGCTCATGAGTAAATACCTCTTTGACCAAAATGTAGGAAAAATTTATCTAACTATGACTCAAATTCTCAAAGCAAAACAAGATTGACAAATTTTACTACACAAAAACAATAAAAATTTGTATGGCAAAAAGTTCACCAAAAGATCAAAGGACAAATTCAAAACTGGGAGAAAGTGCTTGCAATATACATCATGGAGGTATTAGTCAGCTTTCTGTTGCTGGAGCAAAATACCTGACAGCCATAACTTAAAGGGATAAGGGTTTATTGTGGCTGGGGGTTCAGTCCATGGTTGGCTGGCTCCAAGGCAGAGCGTCATGGCAGAGCAGCAGGGCAGAGGAAAGTTGCTCACCTCACAGCAGCCAGAAGCAAAGAGAGAGGGAAAGAGCCAGTCAGAGAGAGAGAGACAGAGAGAGAGAGAGAATGAGAGAGAGAGGTAGAAGCAGAGAGGGAAGAGGGGGCTGCAGACAGGGGACCCTTCAAAGTTCCTACATTCTCAGGGACCTGTATCCTCAACCGAGCCCTGCCTCCTAACAGCACATTCATCTTCGAATTCATCAATGGATTAATCCAGGCACATCCAGCCTATGGCCTGGAATCTGGACACATTTGTGTTACAAAAAGGAAGTTTTGTAACATATATACTTTAACTATACTATATATTTTATATGTGAGCCAAGACAATTTCTCTTCATCACTTCTGCCTCAACAAGCCAGGGATGTCCAGCCCTCAGTCATTCATCTACTGCGCTCCCAGGATGAAATCACCTCCACAAAGCCCCGCCTTGTAAGACACATGAGCCTTTTGGAAGACATTTTTGATCCAGTGTGGGACAATGGAAAAAGAGTTACTGTTGCTCTTCTACAAAGAGATTTGAAGAAAAGAGACCAAAACTCCAGTAGAAACACAAAGAGGGCTGAGGATTCAGCTCAGTGGTTCTGCTGCCTGCCTCGCAAGCACAAGGTCCTGAGTTCGATCCCCGATACCAAAAAAAAAAAGAGTACAAATGGGTACAGCCAAGTGGTGGCGAAATGGGCAACATCAAAGACAACTAGATGTATCTTTGCCTTTCAACCAAACAATCCCATACCTAGGAACTTACCCTGAAGATTTATTACTGATGATGGTAACATAAACGTACACAAGTTTATTCACTGCAGCATTGTTTGAAATTGCCAAATACTGGAAACTACCAGAATACTTCAACATCGAAATAAACAATGGCATCTGTAGAATGGAGCTGGGGGGAAAAATGAGGAAGCTTTATATGAACGGAACCAGAGTGGCTTCTAAGGTATTTTGTTAAGCTAAAAAAAGTAACAACAACCACAATTTTATAGTACAGGTTGAGTATCCCTTACCTAAAATACATACATTGGAAATGTTTTGGATTTTTTGTTTGTTTGGATTTTAGAATATTTGCATTACTGTATCATGAGATATCTTGGCAATGAAACCCATGTCTAATTATGAAATTCATTTATATTTCATATACACCTTATACCTCAGGTGAAGGTAATTGTATAGAATATTTGCAGTGTAACTGTAGTGTTTTTTAAATTCAGGCTTTATTGGATATTAGCTATTAATGCTTATTGCTTTATTCCATATATATGTCATCCCACACAGTTTTAGGAAAGGAGTCTTTGAGAAAATATACTGGGAGTGTTGGACAGATGATGGCAACATTGATGAAAGTGTTCAAGTATTTTACCTAGGGTAATAAGGTAATAACCATCCCCCCAGAAATTTGGACATTTCATTGGAATTCAGTTACCATTACTCTTTGTAATCTAGCAACCATGATAAGCCCAAACAATTCCAGAATCTTCAGAGCAAAACAAAAAAAATTTTTTTCTCGTTACCAGAAGTTTTTTTAAAAAGGAGCAAACAAATCAACATAACAAAAACCACACATATACATATAACAACCCTGAAAACAAGTTGGGATATTCTAGTTGGCATCTTAATCCTAAAACAAGAAACGAAATGTGATTCAGCTTTTAAAAATGAGATTAAACTCCTTCTCTGTATTTATACTTACTTTATAATTCAAACAATTTAACTGAACCCATTTATATGTTTTATAAAAACCATAGATACCTCTCAAGAGGCCAGGGATTTAGCTCAGTGGCACTGTGCCTGCCTCGCAAGCTCAAGGTTCTGAGTTCAATCCCCAGTACCAAAACCAAACCAAACCAAAGCATAGATACATTCAAATTGCTCTTATGCTAAGGTAACTTCTTCAAAAGTTAACTGTTGCCGGGAATTTAGCTCAGTGGTTCTGCTGCCTACCTTGCAAGCGCAAGGTCCCAAGTTCGATCCCTGATACCAAAAAAAAAGAAAAAAAAAGGTTTAAAAGTTAACTATTCATTAAAACCTCAGACACAAACTGCAAGGTATAACTTGATGTATTAACAACCCTCCCATATACTGCAGAAATGCTAAGTGTTC